TTGGACGGCGCCGCGCGGGGGTGCTTGGGAGCTTTTTCAGTCGGCGCTGGAGAAGAGGTCCGAGGGCGCTTCGACGACTGCCCAACGGGAGCAGTCGCCTTACCACGTTCCCGCGCAGGGTCGTGTGTAAGCTTGGATCGCCCTTCCGAGCGGGGAGGTCCAGCTTCCTCCTCCTCCTCTTCGCTGGAGTCGACGCCGTCATCTCCCTCTCCTTCACCGTCAGACTCCCACTCCCCCTATTCGTCTCCGCTTTCGCCTCCGCTTGCCTCCCCTTCCTCGGCCTGCCCCTGTGCTCCGTTGGGTGTCGAGTACATCTCTGTAGTTGCCTGGAGAATAGCAGACAAGTCGAAAGTCAGTAGACCGATTCAAAGAGAGCAAATGAAGAAAGCAAGATCTCGGCCGGGGACACAAGGTCAGACCTGGTCCACCTCGTATGTACTGTCAAGCGGGACAACCCTCCTGGCTCCTCGGGGGTTGTCTTTGTTCCCTGTGATACTCGACAGCCACCCTTCCAGCATCTCATCGATGACCTCCTCTGGGTGAACCCGAGTGGTGTCGTCGAGGCCCGAGTACAGCCACATAGGATGGTCACGAGCCTGAAGCGGTTGGATGCGCCTCCGAAGGAAGACCTCCAGCAAATCCATGCCGGTCACACCATCTCGGACAAGCTGAACCACTCGACCAACCAGCACCTTGACCTGTGCCTTTTCCTCCGGTAGCACTTTCAGAGAGGCAGGCTTTTGAGCTCGGTCCAGAGAGAAAGGGGGAAGACCAGTCGACTGTCCTGGGGTCACCTGGTCTTGGCAATAAAACCAGGTCGACTGTCAACCACGGACCGACTCGGGGAAAGTGATAGATGGAAAAGAACTTTTGCCCCTCATCTGGATCGCCAGGCCCCCGCATAGCTGGATCACTTGCGTCCGTTCGTCACTCGACTTGGCTTTCTTTACCGATTGGGAACGGCAAGTGAAGATGTGTTTAAAGAGTCCCCAATGAGGGCGGCAACCCAAGAAACTTTAGCACAAGGAAACGAAAGCCGCAAGATACACGATGGAATTGGGAGTGAAATGGTGGAGCTGCGCTCCGAAGAAGTTCAAAAAGCTTCGGAAAAAAGGATGAGGAGGTAGAGAAAATCCGCGATCGATATGGGTGGCGAGGAGGACGCACTCACCGTCACGAGGTTGGGGTTCGACTTCTCCCCCCGGGAGACGCGCAGCTTCGTGGGGAATGACTCCCCCCTCGACCATGTCATCAAGATCTTCCTGCCGAATCACCGAGGGCATCCAGTCGCCCTGGATCCAATCCCTGGGCAGGGCAGTCCTCGAGGAAGATCCGCCCCGAGCGGACTTCTTCCCCTTCCCCTGCACCGCCGCCTTCTTCACGCGCTCCAAAGCCGACGTCTTGTCCTTTACCATCGTCGCCGGCGAGGCTCGAACGGACCTACGGCGCTAGGGTGAGAGCGGAGGTGGCGGAGGACCTTGCGGGGGGAGAAGGAAAGGCGAGAGCACACTGTTGGGGAGCCCCGAGCCGGCAACTTATAAGGAGCCGCTTCCGAGTGGCTGACCGGTAGGCCCAGGAGATCCCGTCAAATCCCGCAATAGGCGCGCGCGGTACGTGGCGAAAAAGGTGGCTCGGAGATCGAGGAGCTTCCATCCTATCCCGTCCGATTACTTCGGCCGCCCCCGTCCGTCTCGCTTCCCGAAATTCGAACCCCGCAGAATCCGTGGGCTGCAGAACAACTCATCAAACTGAAGAGCCCGCTCGTGCCGGCACTCGGTATTCCACAAGTAAGGAAATCCACTCGACGAGAGACCAAGAATGGATCAAGGTGACCGAAAGAAGTTGACAACGTCATCCGTGACGATTGATCCAGCACAAGACGTTCGTATAACGCTAAGAACCAGTCGGAAGGACCCCCAACTCCTTCCTCACTCGAACCTCGATCCATTCGGGGGCTAATGATGAAGCTATGTACCTAGGGTGGGGGCATGGACATGTCCTAAGGAGCCCTACCCAAGGACATCCCTGGAAGAAGTCACCTTTCAATCGACTTGAAGGTATCCCACTCGACAGATTTAAGACACTCGACCAGGAGGCTACCACTCGACTACGATGCCAACCACTCGACTGACAGGAGATCTAAAGCCACTCCGCAAGCAAACGGTCGGCCATTAAGTAATCTTTATGGTCATCATAGCACTTTATTAGGGACGTTACCAGTAACGCCCAGTCTTAATGTATTTTAACCCTGCGTTACTGAGGACCGGAGGGGTCTGGCGAACTCTATATAAGCCACCCCCCTCCTCAGTAGCAGGGGTTGGCACCCCTGTAATTCATACACACATAATCCAGTCGACTGCCTCCGGGCACCGAGACGTAGGGCTGTTACTTCCTCCGCGAAGGGCCTGAACTCGTACATCCTGGTGTATTTACAACTTCTCCATAGCTGAGACCTAGCCTCTCCATACATACCCCCCTACCTCACTGTCAGAGTTAGAACCACGACACTGACCGCCGCCGCCGTCGCCAGAGGTGTGCGCCGGCGTGCACTCGACACCAATGAAGGTGGCGGCGAGGGATCCGGCGGCTCCACGTTTCGTGGAGGGCCTCGGCATCCGGGGCAGCGGCCCCGGGCGGAGAGCGCGGGGTGGCCCTGGCGGCGGGCCATTCCTGCCGGAGCTCGTGAGGCGCCTCCCTCGGTCTCGAGAGGGACGAGGAGGCGTCGGTCCCGGTCGTTGGTGTGCGGCCACCCTCGCGCGGTTGCCGCCGCTAGATGCATCCCATCCTCTCTGCCCCGATCTGCTCCTTCCATCGCCGGATCTGGGTCCCGGTGGCTTAGGTCGTTCTTCCGGGCGCCGGCATCGCGGATCTCGTCGAGTGGGGTTGGATCCGGGGAAAACCCCTGGCAGGCGCAGCCACATTGTACGCGACGCCCTGGGCGCCGTTCCCCTCCTTGAAGGTTGTGGTGTGGATCCTTCTCCCCCTCATTCCGTCCCCTGCTAGATGAAAGCCTAGGTCCCCTGATTCGGGCGGCAACGACACATCTGTGTCGTGTTCCTTCTTGGAGGTGCAGTCCGGGGATCGTAAGGGCGGCGAGAGAGTCGGGTGGGGTGTGATGGAGCCGGGTGGCAGCTTGGCTCTGCGCTTCAATGTCTTCTCTTCAGTGGCTCATCGCTGTTACCCTTGTTGCTGCCATTGTGGCCGACAGCTCTTGCCCTTCGGTGTGGCTTAACCGCAGATGATGACGGTGCTCGGAGTGGTGTGCTCTGAGCTTGCAGGTCTGCTCCTAGTTCCTTCTTCATGTGCGGCTTGGACGTCTTCCTTCTGGGTTCTAGGGTGAACCGAGCTGCCGGCTGCCGGTGCGGCATCCTTCGAGCCAGGATGAGAGGGCAGGGGCCCTTTGCAGTGGCAGTTCTAGAGGAGTTTCGGTCCATTACTGTCTTCGAGTTTGGCTACGATCACGAAGCTTGCGCGGTGGTGCATCCTCTCAAGTCCGTAGTTAGTCCTGTTGGTGTAGGTCGTCCTGTAGGGTGATTGCTGCAGCAGGTCGTTCCTCTGCTTGCTATCGTTGCTGTCTTTGAGTGCGTTTCGCTTTGCTCCTTGTATCAGCCGCTCGTTTCTATTTGCTTTTCCTTGTAAGTTGGTGATCTTGTAATCCTGACCGGTTGATGGCTTTGTTAATTCAAAACCGGGCTCTTCTTGAGCCTTCGTTCTAAAAAACTGCAGTAGATTCTCTTAATCCCATTTGCTCCGTCCGTCTTTTCCTACGTTAGTGTTTCTTTACCTGTCTTTGCATATTTTTGTGCTTAATTTGCATAGTATGTAGCACATCTAGCATGTTTGGTGGGCTGCATTAAGCCCAACCAAGTTGTAAGGTGCTAAATCTGAGTTGTTTGGTTGCCTGGCTCGTGTGAAGAAACTGATCCACGTAAAATTTAAAGCACTGCTCGGTCAGGTCGCCAGGAACGTTTAAATTGGCCGTTTTTCTAAACGCAAGCACGGGCTAGTTTAATTTACGCTACGGGTAAATGCAGACGAACAAACAACATACGAAACATGACAGAAAGCATACATACCCTCGAACAGGCTTCACCTCCTTAGCAACCGCGAACAGACAGAGTAAGTTTTAAGTAGTTAATACTCCTTCCATCCTAAAATGAGTGCATCAAGCTTAATGTAATTTTGTACTAAAGTTAATACAAAGTTGAGACACTTATTTTGGAACAGAGGGAGTATAATGTAATTAACCCATAGGAAAAGCGTGCAGGATTCAATCCTGAAAAAAAAACAGAAATGTGCAATATTCAAAATGAAGGGTTGGGATCTCGTCTTCTCGAGATATATTATTGAGATGAATCCCCGAGGGGACATAACGACTGCTTATGGGGCAGCGATCGATCCATCGTTGGCTGGAAGATCGCACTCAGCCGAAGCTGTAAGGCGAGCCATTATCTCACGGCTCTCACGTGAGGACATCCTTTGGGCCGTCTGATCACATGCCATGGCCACCACCACATGAGTTCACCACCTTGCAGATGATGCTAGCACCGGACCCAACCATCTGGGTCAGGAGGGTGGTGCACCCATCACCCATGCAAGGCATGAAGAAATTAGAAGCAAGCCACCCGATGAGCTCGGACGTAATATCACTGATTCCGAACACCCAACCGTCCCGTTTGCTAGCTGAGGCGAAGCTGGCAGGACAACAACCTCCTAACGGCCGGCTGCTCAATCATGAGAAGAAACTCGAGACGTCAACAGCAAAAGGAGGGACATCTTGCGAGTAGGTAATTACTGGGAATCAGAGGCTTTGGATAATTAATCCATAACTTGCTTAAAGATTCATACTTACATCGGGCACGATGTTTTGAGTTCACAAAACAATCCTAACTTTAGGACTTTAATTATTATTTACACAGCCAACTTGAGCGGCACAATGAGCAGATATAACTGAAATTCCTGAACTATGATAAATGTGGAGGGGCGCACTACTTGGTCCCTCAAGTGGTTTCATTTGCGGCGTCGGCTTTACAAACCGGGCAGGCGTTCTTCACCTCCAGCCACTTCTTGATGCAGCCCGCATGGAAGTCATGCCCACATTTCAGCTTCCCAAGGGAGTCCTTGTGCTTGTATTCCTCCTACAGCAAGCGCATGCGGATGAGAACAAACTTACCAAACCAGGAATACAGTGCAACAAGATTGTTGGCAATTATGATTCCACATAGTAGTGTCATCTTACCAGGCAAATTATGCATCTTTCCTTGTCTTGATCATTCTGTGTACGGGCAGAATTACGACAGGCTAGCTCCATCACGCAGCCTGAGATTTTTTCGTCAGCCAGGCCAGTGTTTACATTGCCAATTCGTTCTTCCAACGCCAGGAGCTCCTGTACATGACAATATCAAAAGTTTACATTTGTTCAACATTTTGATGCAGCTGTAGGCGGTAAGAAGAGCCTAAACTATTTTTCTCCTTACCTCATAGCTCATGTCATCAATGTCCAGTCTCATGTCCCAGTGAGGATCTAATGCTTCTCTAGACTCATGGATGACCAACTGGTCCAGCATCATAAAACGCTTCAAAGAGAGTGTAACTAAATTAGATGCAAGTTCAAAATGTATAGAATGTTGGAACAATTACAAGAAAAACTAAACATATAACTACCTCAGCTGCCGATCTTCCTAGGTTATTCTCCTCAATCATCAAAGGATGAAAACAATGATAGGAATCCCTCATCCTTCTACTCCTTGTACTACCACCATGCCCTACAGAGACGTGCCTAGGCTGTCTAAAAGATGCAGCAGCTTCGGCATGTAATGGCTGGACACTTGATGATGCTGCAGCAGTAGCAGGAGGATAGCTGGTCATGGAAGGTTGATAGCGAGGGTTAGCAGGCTCACACCGAACTGCTCCAGAGTTGGAAGAAGTTGTAAAAGCTGGCGGTGGATAATTGTGGCCAGCGTTGTGATGAACTGGTCTAGGAGTGTATCCAATGTGAGCAAATGGTGCAACGTCAGAAGAACCAGGAAGTGTTGGCACAGGAGCACTTATGTTGGTGCTCTGTGGAGCAGGATAGAATGGCCTCTCTCTGAATGCTATGCCAGTGCTTCCATCTGTCCCTGGAAAATGATATAAAAAATTCTTAGCTTCTTTGATGACAATCTTTACTAGTGTCAAATTCCAAGAGAATGGGATACCACCAACCCATAAAAAAAAAAGGGCAACCTGGTGCATGTAGCTCCCGCTTGCGCAGGGTCCAGGGAAGGGTCCGACCACTTTGGGTCTATAGTACGCAGCCTTTCCCTACATTTCTGTAAGAGGCTGTTTCCAGGACTTGAACCCATGACCTCATGGTCACAAGGCAGCAGCTTTACCACTGCGCCAAGGCTCCCCTTCGGATACCACCAACCCATATTACAATTAAACTGGAATAAAGTTTTTGGAACGGAGGGAGTAGGTATTAACTGGTGAAAGTCCTATGCTTGAAACTAGTGGTATGGCACAAGTCTGAGAACTGAGCAATAAGCTCAGTGGTGTGGGGCCACTGTGTGCGCTCTAAGCTTCCCTGGGTGTGATCCCTGTGGGATGAATAAACCAGTATTTCTCACCTCCAACTTAGGAATTAGAATACACAGAGAAGGCTTTTCCTCCCTCGTGTCTATTTTTGTAAATGTTACTCCCTCTGTAAAGTAATATAAGACGTTTAGATCACCAGTTTAGTGATCTATAAACGTCTTATATTACTTTACAGAGGGAGTATATCATGTATACAAAGAGCTATTCTGTCCAAACATGTAAGATATGATCATTTCACCTGACTACCCAAAAGTTTGTACCAAATCTTAGCAGAAGTAGAACAATATGAAAACACATCAGATTAGAAGCATGGCTATAGGGCTTGAACAGCAGAAGTTGAAACTAACCTGGAGGAACAATTCTGGGAGGTAGAGATAAAGGAGCTCTTTCCCGCTGTACTGGTGCACTTCCAAAAGGAGCATTTGCATTTGGATGGTATGGTGGCACATGAACACTGCTTGATGGGCAAGCTGTAGATGAATTATATTCCGAATGGATAGAACTATGATCATGGCGTCCCCTCACATTCCTCTGAGATCCTTCATGATTAAGAAACTGATGATTGTTCCAGTGGCTGGAACCCATGTTTGAACTTATTTGTGGAGGGCAAGTTTCACGAGTAGGAACAGGATTCAGGGGCACGTAACCAGAGAACTGATTATTGGAAGAACTGCCAGGATAATAGCCTCCAGCACTTACACCATCCACAGGATGAGTGATGGGATTTCTCCGCTTCGGTGCAACCCTTCTGTCATCCACATGGACTCCAGGAATAAAACTATCCTCCGATCTATTCGGATAGCTTAAAGAAGGCACGTGTTGAGTATTGTATGGTGCATAGCTGCTACTAGAGCTTCCAGCAGGAGGATAACCAGCATGGGAAGCATGCAAGGTTCCAGGGGCTCCCATCTGCTGACCATAAGACTGACCGGCGTAGCTTGAGGATGGAAGTTCATTAGATCTCACAGTTGTAACCCCATAACCTGATGGTCCCGCTCCATTAGGTGCATCACCTCTAGGATGCATAAATAACTTTTGACCTGAGATAAACAGGGTGCAACTAAATGAGTTCACCAAAACTGGGATACATGAATAAAAAAGCAGTGTGCTAGTTAAGTCCATGTACCAAAAGGCGGAGGTTCATTACGTGGCTGGTTCGTACGATCCATTCTTGAAATCTGGGAATTGTGATAATGATGCCCAGCCATGACTCATGTACAGTCTGATCAGATGTTTGCTTAATCTGGAAATTTTGAGGCACAGTATTAGTACTTCGGTTAAACAAGTTGCAGCTGCAAATGGGATAACATTTATAAGTGAGTGCATGAAGCATCACAAATGCATAAACTTAAGGGACAAAATACAAGCATTTCAGACCTTAGAACTGTGGGAAGTAAGATTAGAGTCACACGGATCTGAGATAATCAAAGCCAAATGATTCATCAAATGGCAATGCAGTTACTTAATTGGACATTATAGCTCAGTACCATCACAGGGATCACTGAGTTGGAAAATACAATCCATATATCCAATATATAACTAATGACATGTCCTCAGATACCACATGTCATCCTTATACTAGTCGATAGTTTCCCATTTATATGGCCTTGAAACTGTACTGAGCTAATTTTCTCTATTCAATGTGGCTGAAAACATCAGAAGCCAAAGCAAAAGAACTCAAACTGCTGAGATGATAAAGCCAGAGCAAATTTTGACAACAAAATATGAATTGTGTTTTTAAACCAGAGAAAGCAATATCAATGGTTTTGCATACCAATCAGTTAAGGTACAGTTACTGCTCAAAAACTGCACTGTTACTCAAGTTAAGTATCAGAGTATAATGACAGCCAAGGTCGTGGCAGCACCAGGGGCAAGAAAATCACAACAGACTACATGACTGGTTAAAACAATCTGAAGTTTCATCTTTTGAACTTTATATTAATGGCATCTGAATGATTGGCATATTTTTAGAACTAATTTGCAGTATATCCATATGATGCTGATAATGCTGCTCCAGCTGCAGACTATCCATCTTACATATAATATTACATCTACAATCCATGTCAAAGTTCCACAGAAATTTTACTTGCAGCCATGGTAGAATTTTGGTTGCATTCAAAGATAATGAAAGATGGTGGGAGGATAGAAACTTGAAATGAAACAAAGTGCAGTCAGTTAAAGTGATAACTTTAAGAAAATGTTGCTCGCATGCATGTACTCCCTCCATTCCAAAATACTTGACTTCCATTTGTCCAAAAATGAATGTACCTATATACTAAAGCACGTCTAGATACATCTATATTTTGACAAATGGAAGGCATGTATTGTGGAACGGAGGGAGTATATTTTAGTGATTATTTGTGAGCAAATTATTAAAGCATGTCTGTTTGTTTTTTGGAATGTAAACACACCTGGTTGAAGATATTTTGACTTCATACCAAAAGGTCAAAAACAACTATTTGCACTATGTTTACAATTTCATATGATTATATTTCCAACTTCACACAGGATAAGTAGCATATGAGGACCACATTTGTCTTTTAACGAAGTGATAGAGCACATGATATCAGTATATATACAATGGATAGCATTAGGATTGTGTCACAAACAAATTTCCTGTACTTTTGAGTAAGAAGCAAGAAAAACAGCTTTCTGATATACATTTTGCCATGACAGGTAAGAAAGATAACACCCAAACCTCTGGCAAGCACTAGGTAAATAATCTCAAACAGCGTAAACTACAGCAAGCATTGCAAAAATGATAATACAACAAGTAGCCAAAGAAGTTGAAAGAGATTACTGATTTTTTTTGTGACAACACTCTTCCAATAGTACAGTTATCATATTTACATTCTAGCAAGCATAAGAATTATCTGACTGAAAATTCAAACTTTACATAGCATGAGATGAGCTCATGTCATAATGAGCTACATCAAGGGGAGAGATGGATAGTGTACATAATACTATCAAAATGTAAAATAATTGGATGTCTAAGACATAAGGGTAATGCTAGCTATCAGCTCCAGACGAGCCGGAAATATCGTCAAGGCAGTGGACATAGCATGTCATGTAGAAACATGGCCCATTTAAATAGATAACATATGTGTGATATTGGTTCCTCCATGAAGCTGGTGTGCCCTTTTGTTCTGCTTATATGTAGATGCATCTTGTTTCCAACATCAATTGATTTATGTTTGACTAGCCTTTCTCTCCTTTCATTTTCCCATCAAATGGCTATCTGCAAATACATTCTCTCAACACAATAACTGAGCTTGTTTCAAGGGTACACCTACCCTCACCACAGCCAGTTCTACGTCTTAAGCTGATTTCTTCTTGGAAAAGCACCTTCAGATCAACTACTTTGGTAGGAACCATTAGGTCTTACGTTCCTTTTCCAGATTTTACACCCATCTATTGGTAAATTAACCATCCAAACCATGACAAGCAAATTGATGGTTCTTGTATGAAGTGCATGCTTGCACTGCTCCAATTAATACTCCAAGTGATCATGAAATCCTTCTATGCAGGTTAACAATGGGCACTGGTTCATATACCATCACCAACGTACTTAGTCCATGAAGTTCATGGAACACACCACAGTAATCTAAACATACTATGTGCTAAGTGTGGCAGCAGTTAGGTATAATTTTCCAGTTCCCAGAAGAGGTACCACTTCCAGAAACCGCATTGGAAAGCCTGACTTGTATGCTTAAGATCTTGCGATAGGTATCACCTTCCCTCACGCTAAGGACAAAATACATTGATTTGAGCATATGCTCTTTCTGAGGCTAAATAGGTTCTCAAATCACATGTCAACTGAAGAGCTCTTCCATTTGACTGCAGCAGTCAGCACATAGTACTCGCAAAATGAATCAAGGAGCCCAATGTGCCCGATTGTTTGACCTTAATGTGAGCTTGATTTTGGTAAATCAAGTCAAGAAAGAAAATAAAATTTTCCTTTACTTCGCAGGATCAACTAGTACCTGCAATATTATTAGTAGCTCAGTCCAAATGAAAAGGTATTTACGCACAGGGAAACAAGACTTTTGACTATACTAATATTTCGAAGGATCTAAAGCTATCATCCTCCACAATAAATAAACTTCCCTTGTTTCAAGGCTTAGTAGGAACAGCAAATAAGCTGGAGGAGCTAGAGAAAGAAAGGCCAAAAAAAAAAAAACCATCGAAGCTAAAGGCAAGGTAGTATGAATGGCAGTACCCATGTTAAGGGTTTGTGACCACGAAAAAGGCGGTGGCACCCATGGAATAAAGTTTAGCACAAGGCTAGCTTCTAACTTAGTTATCAGCTTAAATCTGTAATTATATTATTTCTCAAACTATTCACTAACCTGGGTACCAGGTCATCAGATAATTGGAGAAAACGGCAATTGCTTACCCAACCTAATTCCCACAATTGCCCAAGTTGAAGTCAAACAAACAACGAAATGGAATCATGGCCCCAAATATTGAACTCCAACTCTAACAAATCTTAATCGCTGCTTTGAAGAATGTGGCTATTTTGGAAGCCGAATCTCACTCTAACCTGCATTTCCACCATAAGAAATAACGGTTTGTTTGCCATTGCTGACTATATAAAATACTTTATAGATGGTGCTTAAAACGTCAAAAATAAATACCTGAAGATGCAGCAAGTGATGTAGAATTTCATGCATAATCATCAAAGGAAAGGACATCAGTGGTGTGCTCTTAACATATAAAGCATTTCTGCCTCTAAGAATAATCCGAGGCTGTACAACTTGTATGCTCTGTTGGGTGGAACATATAAACAACCAGTGTCGATGGCACAATGGAAGAGTACCTTCCATGATCTAACGGTAATAGCATCACACGATGAAGGTACACTTGAAGGCTGAGATCTAGCACAAGTTATACATATCACATGATCTTTTTCTGTGATCACTTAGAGACAGCATAAACTATATTTCCATTATATAAATTTAGATGCAGCATTCTTACTCTTCATTCTCACATATACAAGAAATTGTGAGCGCTGACCTGATTTTTGAGCAACAAAAATCAAACATAAATGATCAAAATTCAGATAGCTCGTATTACATAGTGTGTGGATGGTTTTGAGAGTACATTTTTACCGGTTTCTGTTATCCAGGAAAAAAAAACTGCTAGCAAAAAACAAATAAATAGAAACAAAAGAGTTGCCTGATGTCGAACTGGGAGCACAAACAACTCATTTCATGAATGTATTTTTAGGTAGGAATCAAGAAAATTTCCAAGGGCTTCAGTGGGCAGGTCAAATACATACAGGTTTCATGAACTGAAAGAGTAGGAACTAAGAAGAACGGTGAAAAATACACTTTACTCGTCAAACATGATCAACTAGCCATCCTATCTGGCAGCATCAACTGAATAATGTACCTGGGTAATCTAAGAAGGATTGATACAGCAAAACTTGCCCATTGGCCGTCCTGACACACCAGGATACGAGGATACGCCAGGATACACGTATCCCACAGTATCCCACAATTTGCGAATTAAAAAAAATAAAAATACAGGGGCACGGCTGGGATACGTGCATGATACATTGGGGACACTGTCAGCCGAAAAACAGCTACAGCCCAATACCAAACCCTATTTTGCAGGTGTCGCACGCACGCTCTCCACAAAAGAACAAGCTGCCCACAGCCTCGCAGGCAGCAGCGAATGGGCCGCCACCGCCGCCTCCTGGACTCGCTGCTGCCACCGTCGACGCCTGGACTCTACCAGCGACTGCTACCCAGCTCCAGCAGCCTCTCCTCCCAACGGCAGGTAACCAAGTTCCCAATCCCGGCAGCCTCTCCAACCTTTTCATATTTTTTTCTGATTTTCTTCCATTGAGCTGCTGCTGCTCTTTGAATACCTGATCTGCTGCTGCTTGCTACCTATGTTGTGCTGCTCTTTGAATCCTTGTGTTCCTGCTGCTCGCTTGACCTTGAATGCTTGTGCTACTGTTGAATGATTGCTGCTTGGCTGCTTGCTGTTAGGTAGGATGGCATCTCGGAGCGCCACCGCCGGTAGCCAATCGTTTGTAGGTGAGAGTGAAGGGCGGCCTGGTCTTCGTGCCGTAGATCCTTAGTATCCTCTTCCTCTGTATTCCCCGATTGGGGCAGTATTTCTCATTAATTTTGTATTAACTGTATATTACATGACATTTTTTATTTTATTTCATAATGTACTCGCCCGAATGGCTGTT